CGAGAACTATTTTTCAAGTTGCATATAACTCATGCACAGAAAACAATAAAAAATAACAATTTTTTCATTAAATTAGAAAGGATCATTTTGTTTTTGAAGTTTTTATTCTATTTTTGTAATAAAACACTGTGGCCTCAAGGAAAAAAAATTTTTTTCCAGCATGGCAGTCAATGTGTTAAAAGAAGAGGAGTCTGGAGGCATCTTGGGGCTTGTTCTGATAACATGGACAAAGTCCTCTGTGGCAGGAAGGAATAAGCCAACCCAAGAAAAGCAAGAAGCAAAAAAAAAGGCAGATAGATACATCTAATGATGCTCTGGTCTAGACAGTCAGTCAACCCTGAGAAGGGCTTCACCAGTCTGTGTGGTTTGGCTTGAAAGCCAGTAAACTTCCCCTCATAAGATAGCTTAAGTTGGATTTGTCTTACTTGCAAAACAATACTGACTGATGAAGGAAGGACAACCAAAAAGGTAAATAACTGCACAGGTTTCTGGAGTTGAAAGCTGAGACTTAATACTTCTTAGCCATCTGTGCAACCTTGGGCAGGCTACCACTCTGAAATGCCCCACATGTACTTCAGGACATACACACACATATGCACACACACACACACACACGCATGTGCATGCACAGACACATGCACATTAACATAGCTGAACTTTACTAAAAAGGTAGAGAATTTACAGTTCCCAACTATTTATAACTGACAACAGTTATCAATCAAGGTCATTACTCAGAGTTGTTTCTCATTTAAATTACTAAATGAATCCTACTGCTGGCTCATATTTAGAAGTCAGTAAACACATTCATTAGTTTCCTTTTTGGCCACTGACTCCTTTAAGGCAATGACCAAGATCTAGGATCTATATCATATAGTTCTTCCTCAGTTCTGTAAGCTAAGTTCGCTATTTTACTATCTCCATACAATGTTGCTAGTGCTGTTCTTCTCTTTCAAATTGGGGAGTATTTCTAAGCCACACTTCTCTTATATATTCATCTCCTGAAAATAAGACTTCATTCACTCATAATTTGATCTGTACAGTCACAATACAATCCTATGGCTCATTATATTGTGTAAAGGAATACGTAAGTGTCGATTATCTTTGAATCCTTATAACTTCAGGTTCCTACTAGGATGCCTTCCAAAAGATAAATAATTCCTTTTCCTTGGAAACAAGAAGCTAGAAATATGAAAGCAAAGTATTTTGTTCAACTGCTCACTATTAACTAACGACTATTCTGGTTTCTCCCCTGTTGTCATTCTTGTTGCATTAACTATTCCTCCAAGTTAATAACTGAAAACTACTTTGTACCAATAGGAACTTCCAAATTATTCATGACTATGATAGCTATAATAGTACAAAATGAAGTTTAAAATTAGGTATTAAAGGACTTCAAAAATCTCAAGTAAACAATACATAGAATATTTTTTTTAAAAATACCTGATATTTAATTAGAATTTCTATATACATCTATAATAACTTAAAATAATAGCTGTGCACAGTGGCCTGCAACTATAATCCCGGCTACCCAGGAGGAGGTGGGAGGTGGATCACTTGAGGAGTCTGAGATCAGCCTGGGCAAAATAGCAAGAACCCCTTTCTACAAATAAAGTGAAAAAAATTAGCTGGGTGCGGTGGTGCACACCCATAGTCCCATCTACTTGGGAGGCTGAGGCGAGAGGATCACTTGAGCCCAGGAGTGCAAGGCTACAATGAGCTATAATCATGCCACTACACTCCAGCTAGGAGGACAGAGCAAGATCTCATTTAAAAAAAATTTTTTTATTTTTCTCCTGTAAATTTCACATCTGTTATTAAAGCTCATGTTAAAACAGTCCACAAACCAAGTAATAGCCTTTGGGGCTAGTGTTCAGTACTCAAAATAAAAATATAAAAATGTTACCATTTTCCAGTGGGGAAAAGTGATTCTAAATTGAGTTACTACCAAACAAATATTCAAAAAAGGAAGGTAAATGTTTCTTGGTGTTTATTTGCAGTGAGACTGCCCATCAAGAGCTGGATATTACTGATTGACAGTCACAAAATCAAAGAATGTTAAAATATCAAAACTTTTTAAAATCATCTAATCCAAAACCTCTTAACCCAGGTTTCAAGACAGATGTGATATTTTATTTTGTGTTTATGTACATTATATACATTTTTCTCAAAATAAGATCCTTAGCTTTCATCACAATTTCAAAGGGATCCATGATTGAAAAGAGAACCATTATCTAGTCAATATAGAGAAGTGGAAACTGAGGCTCAAAGAAACAGTTATTTGCCCATGGTCAAATAATCAGCAAGTACAGCTACAATATTCAAGTGTTCTTTTCACTGCAACATAAACACTTCTAAAAGGATTTTTTCTAAGCATGTATTTAAGAGAAAAACAAATCTGAATGACCTCAGAGTAGTAAGGGAACTCTCAGGCTAATGATAAAAGGAAATACTAATGGCAGCCATGAAGCCTGACTTGAGAAAAATCCATTCAATATGGAGCAGAAAGACAGAGTTCTAGGAGGGTCATTTCCAAGAAACTGACAGAATACATAAATGTGACTGATTGCAACAAAAGTTTTACTGTTCTACCAAAGATTCTGAAGAACTCAAAAAAAAAAACCTAGCAAAAGGGGAAAAAAGTCTGCAAATATGGGAGTACATAACATGGCACAGCTCTACACAAACATAATAATGTAAGCATAAAATGAATACTGATTTGACCAAAATTTTTAGTCACCGAGAGGATAGAGGGAGGAGGCTTAGGAGGAACTTATAAAAAGCTAAATCCTAATCATATGGTCAAAAGTCAACAAGTAACATCTACAATGAAATGACCAAGAAAAGACAAGATAGGCACATTTAAAAACATAAAGTAAAAAACAAACAGTGTTATTCAACAGGGCACATCTGCATTTTGAGCAGGGCACCTACTTGTTACATGGGGCAGTTTTCGAGCACAGGTCAGCAAACCAAGACCTGTGGGCCAATCTAGATTATTGCCTGCTTTTGTAAATTCAGCTTTTTTGGAACACAGCCAGGGCCATTCATTTTACATATTGTCTATGGCTGCTTTTGTGCTACAATGGTAGTAGTGTTGAATAGTTGCAGCAGAGACCCATGGCCCTCGAAGCCTAAAATATTTACTATCTGGCCCTTTATAGAAAAAGAGTGCCCACCCTAGTTTAGAGCATTGTATGACATTTAGTGTACCTCTACTCCTATCCACAAAGGCTACTATCCCCCCAAAAGTAATTATGAAAATTAAAACCTCACATCCCACATTTGCAGTCCCCCTCCCCAACTTCCTAGCAGGGATAAGAAGTGGTAGAACATTGGTTTCAGAACTACTGAGCTATAAAGTTTAAAATGATTGCCTCTGGAGAGCAGAACTTAGAGATTGGGTGAGGACAAGAAAGGGTAGTACTAGGGGCTGCTATTTTTTTTTTTTTTTCAGTAAGCTTTGAAACACTAATTTTTCAAAGTATTCACATGTATTTCTTCAAAAAAATTAAATTTAAAAGCAAAAGCAAAAAAAGGCACAAATTAAATTTAGTTAATGTTTCTGGCAACTGTCTAACAAAATATGTGATTACATTTGCTGGTATATTTTACAGCATGTGTTATGGTTGCTCTGGAAAATTTTTTGTTTACATACATCCAAAGCTGCTAGGTAAATGACCCTCAGATAAGAGAGGTGTTACTGTGCTAACTTAATGTAAGTATAGTATTTCAAACTCTCCTATCCCAAGAAAGGTCAACCAAGTATGTTCTATAAATGATCTTCAGTGAAGTCTGAAATGTTTAACATAAGAAGTCAAAAAGATAAAATATTTGATAAATATTACTTCCACAAGTAGAAATTAGGAAAGAGAAAAACTTTCAAAGATAAATGTAGGAAATTGAATTTTTTTTAGTTTTCTTTAATTCAGAATTTTCTTTTATTTAGCTCTTTAGACAAGCAGTCTGGTTTTTAAGTTGATTACAAATTTAAACATAAAGGTGACACTAATACAGAACCACAAAAGATTGTATTAATAGTATGTCAGCATCAATACTTCCAATTAAGTACCTTATATGAAAAATGTATTACATATCTGTGGCACAGTCTACCCAGAAAATAAATAACACACACAAAGACCGACCATATTCTTAGGTTTGTCTAATCTTTAAAGTGTTTTAATTATCACTTATTTTCAATTCAACTAAATTAAAAATTGTCTGGTTTTCTCCCATATAGAAAAAGCTTTATATTTTATTAATAGAGACCTGAAGAATAAGGTATCAAAATGTTTTAAAAGGTGAAAACAAACATAATTCACTACATACTCAAAAAAATCTAAGATATTACATAAAACAATATACATTTTAAAGAATGTAAACACCAGGAGTATAGTCTATTGTATGTTTTTAAAAGGCATATATTCTTTTGAACTTTATAAAGAAAAACATTATGTTGGTAAAGCTTATTTTGAAATATACATTGACACAGGTAGTTTAGTTATAAGAATTCTAAAACATCAAAATAAGCATTTACTATTTCAGTTTATAAAATACAATCCCCAAAGGTTTATTTTACTGAGAAGATTCACCTATTGAATTGTAAGTTACAAAAAACAGGTTAAAAACTGTTGATATAAAATTATAAAGTTCTGCTAACCTTTCTTTTAAAAAAAATTAAACGAAAATGTTAACACTTTTATAAAATGCTAATATATCCATAATTTTGGAGATTTGGTTTATATTATAACTGACCATAATTAATCTAGATATTTTGATATTGTAGAATGAAAAGTAAAAAAATACTTTTAAGCATCACCTTTCTAATTTATTTAGAGGTAAAAGAAACATGAGGAAAACCAAAATAATCTTCTCTTGCACTAAAAGTCCTAAAATCTATTTTGTAATCATTTTAGGCAATATTTGACATAAATCCATAGCACAAACATACATTTTTGGAAATCAAACATTTTAAAAGTTAAAAGTTTTCACTATCAACTTACCTTCTTTTGATACCAGACTATAGCATCTGTGACTTTGGACGCCATTTATTCCACTGAAATCACACATTAGTCATTTTAGGCTGTGCAAGAGAAAAAAACACATAAACAACTTTACTTCCACCTTCCAAAAGGAGACTGAACAGCATGCATAGGTAACACTCTGGTTACTTGCAGAGCAAAGGGTGTATGACTATACTTATATTACACCCTTCCTCATTACTATTTTAGCAACAGGTTCTCTTAAGTAAACAAAAATCAGTTGCCATAATAAAAGAAGGTTCTTTTAGCATGACTGTAACACTTGAATTTTTTTCCAAAATAGGCTGAATTTTTTTAAAAATAAATCTTTTAAATGTATTTGAGAATCTCCCAGGTTATAATAAAAGTTTTTCATTTATAAATTCACATATAATAGAAACCAATTCATTCACTCAGTCACAGATCAGTTGTGCTGTAGTTTTAGGAACTAGTGTCAATTACTATTGCTAGAAGATGGCTTAATAGAGATGTCAAAATATATAACTGTATTTAATTTTCCCTGACACTCAATAAACACAAAACTGAACAAAAATCAAATAACCCAAGAAGCCTAAAATTTATTTTAAATACTAAGCCAATATTAGTTAATAACATAATAATAATTAATATTAAGGATGTCCCAGATATCACAGTTTGCTAATATTTAGAAATATACCACGAGTCATTTTGTAAGCATCTTTCTTGTGCTTGTCTAAGAGTATTGGGCGCTAAACTTAAAGATTCCTTAGCCCTAGAGAGAATTCCAGACTGATTCCAATTAACTACAAAATACTTTTCTAGTCATAAGATGACACCGGAATAGAGGGCACCGCTGGCCCGGTGTTAAGAATGAACCTAAAAGAGCTTTAAAAGCAGATACTGTCCCTAGAACTTGTTACAAACAAGGATCATCTACAGCCAGACCGGATCTCAGAGAAATCCTGGGGTAAAGCACCCTGCTGAGCCAATCCTAGCACATGCAGATCTGTAACGGTAGAAAAGCTACCACTACAGTTTGCCACAGTAAACAAAATACCAGATATTTTATACACCATTTTTGGGAGCATGTATGATTCTTAAGCATATTAGTATTCAAACATAATGAAAACCATTAGCAAGTTCAAATGTTCAGATGACCAACTTCTAAAATTTAAAGTAGAATTTACTTAAGGCCGGTATTTTTGACAGTGTTATAACCAAATTATTTTATTATTTTTCCTAATATATTAATGATTCTGTCTTTAACTGATTAAATTCAAGCAAACTGTTTGAAATTCCTGAAAAGTATCCTGACATAATGGAAAGAGGAGGACAACAGAGTCAAAAGACCTGGCTTCAAATATTGGCTCTGTTATCTATTACATAATATTAAAGAAGTTACTTAATCTCTCTGAACCTCGGTTTCTTTCACTTGTAAAACAGGAATAACTGTACCTACTCATCCCTTACAGGATTTTTGTGATCAATAAAAAATATACATATAATGCCTACCACAGTCCAGGACCTACAGTATTCAATTCTAATTATTTGTATTATTTTTATATTAAAAAATTCCCCAGTCCAGGAACTGGGAAGCATTTATATTTCCTTTTTTAAACACGGCAAACAGTTTAGAGAGGAATACATGCAATCAGGTTTTGTTGACACTGAAAATAAAAATACCTACCTGATTATCTTAAAATCACAAAATCAACTCTCAACTATATATACACATGGATTATTTAGATATTTCAAAGTTCACCTCCACTTAAATTTCTCAGTCAGGTGTGGCCACCTTCACTTCTCTCACCAGGGTTTTTTTGGGATGCTTCCCCTAACTGACTTAAAATCTCACATTTTGGTTTTTCTGTCCTGGAAAGCTCTAGGTATGATTAACCACATTTTATCTTAGAGGTTTTCCCCATTGATTTTGACAGAGGACTATTCATTACAACACTACATCTTCTTTATATTTGTTTGTCAAGACAATTTTGTATGTTTCCCAAATTGATTATAACCCATGTGTCCCATGTAAACTATGAAAAATGGTACAAAAATAAGAGAATATCAACTTTTCACTTTACTTTCCTTTTACTTTACCCAATATTTATTGACAAAAATTCCAAATTATCTACCAAGATAAAGATCCTCTCTCCTAACACCCAAGAGTGTAAATAATGTACATTTCATATAAAAAATGTGAAAGGGTTTTTTTATCACCCACTCCATTAAATGTATGAGATATTTAATATGTTTAGGGAATATTTAAATGGTCATATACAAATAATAGTGTTTTGTGTTTAAAGAAAAAGTTTCAATGAAAATGAGGAAAACACTGACTGCCGCAGAATAAAATGATGCAAAAGATTTTTAAAAAAATATATTTTGGTTTACCAAGCTACACTTAAAAATAAATTTCAAAAATCTAAAAGTATACCAGATATATAAAGTCTTCTAAATATTTTTAATTATATTTATCTGGGTGTGCAGAAATAAAAATTCAATCAATTTTCTGTGTTTTAAAAAAATCTTTCTCCAGTAATGGTAAGGTTTGCTCTACAAACTCATTTAATGGTTTTTCCATTATGTCAACAACCTTTCAGTGACACTGAATGACTCATATCTATTTTTAAAACAGGTTTTACAACATGCTGAGATAGATTTCTGAACCAGACATCTGACAAAGCACACTCGAAGATACCTAAATTACACATGAGTATAAACAAGAATTAATAAATTGACAAATGATTTCATGGATAATAAAGATTAGTTCTAAAGGCTTTCTGATTTGATTCTATGACAGTCCAAGAATATAGGTGTATAGTCCCTATTGTCATAATAATTCAGGTTAAATAACTTTTAACGTTAAATTATATCAAAGTTAATTTACAGAAACAAAGAGTAGCATAAAAAACTTACTGTGTACCTTGAATAGAGATTCTTAATCTTTCTTGATGGACTGATCTGATACAAGGATGGGTATTATGACAAAGAAATACTACAATCCTAAAACAACATGGAAATAATCTAACTGCAGGTATAGTATTCAAATCTTGCTACAGATAGTTACTCTAAACTAATTCAATCCTTGACACAGATTTAATCATCATACTTTACGAAAACAAATGAAATTATTCTTCACTATATCAATTTCCACACAAAATACATTTATGATACCAAAGACCAGGGTGGAGGGAAAAGATGACTACAGAAGAGATAGTATGTTAAGTCTGCCTTTATAGAATCTCACTATCAAATACGGTTGACCCTTGAACAACACAGGTTAGAACTGCATGGGTCCACTAGTACATGGAGTTTTTCAATAAAAGTTACGAGAGTGTACCTGCCTCTTCTGCTGCTTCTTCCACTTGCTCCACCTCTTCTGCCTCTGCCACTCCTGAGACAGTAAGATCAACCCCTCCTCTTCCTTAGCCTACTCACTGTGAAGACAATGAGCATGAAGAAAACCTTTATGATGACCCACTTCCTCTTAATGAATAATAAATATATATTTTCTTAATAACATTTCTTTTCTCTAGCTTACTTTATTGTAAGAATACAGTATGCAATACATAACATAAAAATGTGTTAATCTACTGTTTATATTATTGGTAAGGCTTCAGGTAAACAGTAGGCTATTAGTAGTTAAGTTTTTGGGAATCAAAAGTTACACATGGATTTTCAATGCACAAAGGGTTGGTGCCCCAACCCCCACATTGTTTAAGGGTCAACTGTATAATAATGCCCAGGTGTATTCTTTGTACAGAGCTAGTCAAAGAAATTGTGAGATTTTTAACCATCTCCTATGTTACAGAAAAAATTGCCGTTACCATGTACTTCTTTGATTATTCTCAAATTTCTCTGTTCCACCATGACACTCACTAGGCTCAGAAAACAATTTATACTCAACCCTGACACTTTGCTTATACTGTTGTTACCAGAAAAGAATCCCAAACTCTGTAAAATAATTTAAAAAGGTTTATTCTGAGCTGAGTGTATGTGACCTACAGCCTGGAGCACATGTTTTCAAGAGGTTTTGAGAATATGTGCCCCCGGTAGCCAGGTTACAGTTTGGTTTTATACATTTGTGGCAACAGGAATTACAGTTAAGATCATAAGTGAATAAGCGGAAGGTATACATTGGTTTGGCCCAAAAAGGCAGGGCATCTTGAAGTGAGGGAGGCTTACAGGTGGGTTTAAAGATTCTTTGATTTGTAATTGGTTAAGGAAATAAAGCTTTGTCTAAAGGCTTGGAATATTTTTCATTTCTTTTCTTTCTTTCTTTTTTTTTTTTTTGAGGAAAAGGAAAGAGGAGTTTATTAATTTGCTGGCAAATGAGGAGGTAGGCACACTCCCACTTTAAAGTACCAACGTCCAGGACTGTTTTAACTTAAAATAAGGATGTTTGTTAATCAAAGACATTTATGGAAACTCAAGTCATCTGTTAAGTAAATTGATGGCCTGTAGGTGTGGTTTAAGCTTTGTCTTGCATGGCCTTAGGCCTGTTAATGATTTAGTTTCTTGCTGTAACAAAGAGTAACTCCAATAGAGAGGGGGCATTACAAGGGCGTTTGACCTCCCTTCTCCTCATGGCCGGCAACTCAGTTTTAAAGTTTTTTCTGGGATCTCCTTGGCCAGAGGAAGTCCATTCAGTTGGCTGGGAGGCTTAAGATTTTATTTTAGTTCACACTCTTATTCCCATTCTATCCTTTGCTCCACTCATCCATTCTTCTAAATCAATTCAAATCCTACTTCTTCCAAGATGAGGCTTCCTTACAAGTGCTCATCTGGACTAAAAAATGTTGAAGCTTGATGTCTCTTTTCCAGCATTGATCTGTACTGTATAAATCTGTCATTTAAATAAAAATGCAAAGCAATACAGCCATACAGGTCACTCCAGGAAACACTCCAGGAAAAAAAGGGGCATCATTCTTCGCATCTCGCTAAGTACTCAGGGCACTGTAATACATGGCAGAGGAAGTAGAGCAGAGAAAAAGCAATGACTAAGCATCAGGAGGATTGGGTTCTATACCCAAGTTCTAATACTAACAGCTGTGTGCCATTCAATACGTTACTGAGTTCT